TTTGATGACTTGGGCATATCCCCAGCATGACATCTACGTGGCAACTCTGCCATTGCCAGACAGTCTGTACAATGTTACCTGAAAATTACAGAGCGGTATCCTTACCACCAGCACCCCCCATGGTCTACAGATACAGAGGCCAATGTGCACGTACAAATTGCATTAATAGGAGGCATTGCTCATTCACTTGTCTTCTACAGCAGAATATTTCTCGAGGATTTGAAGCTTTTTGGTTTTGCAAATCCTCCAAGTATAAGGGGTTTTTTTCTTCTTTTCCGCTTTGATTTTAAGTTTTGCTCGTTATCTAGAAGCCTTGGTTAGGTTTTCGGGGAACAGGGCAGGGGGAAAATGGAGTAAATGTCAATGGGGAGTCCTGATTTTGCAATGTTTTCATGCTTTATTGATTAAAATTTAATTTTTGCATGTCACAGAATGATCAATATTACCCCAGATATCAGTACTTAAGTTTAACAAAGCAGAAGAAAAATATTTGTTCCCCTTTTCCTTGCTTCTTTCTATTGAATTTTTTCGCCCTGAAAAAATACAGAAGAAGACAATGTAAGGTAGGGCTTTCTCTAGAGCTAGTTCAGAGTGGAAACATCAGCACTATGAAGTAGTAATATAATCAATGAGATAATACTGTTGAGGAAAATAAATAGAAATTATTGGATGTGTGAAAACCAGAGAATCCCTATAAGGTATTTTGAAAACTTGAAGAGTGGAGAGGGGGAAAAATCACATGGAAAAATGAAATGTCTTACAAAGAAGAAACTGTCATTGACTAATATTTTAAATCATAGAAATATGATTGCCAAGTGAGAAAGGACCTTAAATTTTTTTTCTTTTCTAGTAGATGTTTGTATATGGAACCTTTCTTTAAACTCGCCAAGTAGTTCGATAAGTTCACAATTAATTAAAGTTTGTCATTTCCTTATTTGAATTTGTTGAAGTGACTTTTATCATTTCCCTGCTCTAGCTTTGTGTTTTTTCAATTGTGTAGTCTGTAGCTATTTTCATTCTTCGGACTGCAGTGCAGGTGTTCATGATATCTGGCAACATCAATTTTCAACCTAAATTTGTCTCGTCTACCTCCAGAGATCTGGTAAATGTTGTTGAGTTATTTTTGTCATATCTCATAATCAAAACAGAGATAAAAGAAAGGCTAGAAGCAGATAAATAATCTTGTGAGAGGAACTTGCTGAGAGCTAAGGTATATGGTTTCCACTAATTAATCTGAGGTTATACTTTAGCTCAAGTTAATACCTTTCCTCTAAATGGATTCAGGAGATGCATTACCACAGTGTCATTCACTCCTAGATCCCTAGTATGACGACGTCTCTGAAGATATTTCGCGTAGTGATCCTAACCTTGACGGACATAAGCTAAAGGAAAACTTGTCGCATTTTGTTACACACAAGTGCAAGTCTAAAATGCCTAATTTTTGGAGTACTGGGTCCCTGTTAAGCTCTCGAATGTTCAAACAGATCAGTATTGTGCTTCCCTATTTTCAAATTCTATGTTACTTTGCTCGGGTTTAAAGAGTGACTCAGTGGATGCCCTCCTGGAGATACTTATTTCAACCGTGAAGGTTTGGCTTTATCAGAAAATTCAATTAATAGTTAGCCACAGCCTTTAAACTGCTGGGATGTTGCTTCCGCTTTGCCTTTCAATACATGTTTTCTTGATTTTTTTAATTTTACTTTTTTTTTTTTTCATTTTGTTCACTTGCTATGAATTATTGGGTTTCATATTTCCATTTCAGTGTTGTGATCATCCTTATCTCGTGGATCAGTCTTTGCGAAACTCAGTGGTCGAAGGCATTCCTGTGGCTGAACAATTGAATGCTGAAATTGAATTGAGTGGAAAATTAAATCTCCTTCACATGATCCTTCCAGAGATCAAGAAACGAGAATTAAGAATTCTTATCCTTTTTCAGGATGCAAGTTTAATTCCATGACATACAGCTTTTTTCTTGTTTTGCATTTGGGCCAACTTCTACTTTAACATCTTTTGAAAGATTCTTTATTGATCAAAGTCTAACGAAGATCTTCATGTTGGTGTCTATCATTAGATGTCTAATTTTTGTCACTTACACCAAGACATTAAATGCGACTATCAGGAGTTTATTTGTGCCTTGA